GAGTCTGTTCTGTGCACTTCAATAACTGTCTGGTTTGGTTCAGCTACAAAATCAGACATCAGAAGACTACAGAGAACGGTTTGGACTGCCGAGAGGATTATTGGTGCTCCCCTGCCCACCCTTCAAGAACTGTATACATCCAGAGTGAGGAAAAGGGCTCAGAAAATCACTCTGGATCCCTCAGATCCAAGCCATCTCCATTTTGAACTTTTGCCATCTGGTCAGCGTTACAGAGCACCAAACACCAGGACAGCCAGGCACAAGAACAGTTTCTTCCCCAGACAATCTACCTCATGAGCAGTTAATGCTCTCCCATTGTGCAATAAAAGTATGTGCAATAACCCTATACTTATTTATCACCCTAAATCCTAGTACATCCCTACAACTTAGTTTTTTTATTTTTATTTTATTTTATTCCTATTCTATCTATAGCACACCTGTACATACAATTTTTTTGTGGTTCATTTATATTTATGCATGTGTATTTTATTCACATCTTATTTTTTATTATCTGTGTGTTGTTGTTGTTGTCTCTGTGCACTGGAAGTTTGTGACACTAAAACAAATTCCTTGTATGTGCAAACATGCTTTGCAATAAAGCTCTTTCTGACTTCTGTCTGTGTTGCAGGCATCCCGCCGGACGAGAGCTGCCGCAGAGGAGGGGATTATGGGCCGTATGTTCAGTCCGAGCGACTGCAGCTCTACTCGCAGGCGGCCTCTGCTCTGCTGCAGACGGGACATGCCTACTACTGCTTCTGTTCCAATCAGAGGCTGGATTTGCTGAAGAGAGAGGCCCAGCGCAGTGGACAGGTGCCGCGGTAAACACACCGCCACCGGGGAAAGACACACCCCTGTCTCCTCCGTCACACACCTCTCTCCTCCGTCACACCCGTCTCCTCCGTCACACACCTGTCTCCTCCGTCTCTCCTCTGTCACACACCTGTCTCCTCCGTCTCTCCTCTGTCACACACCTGTCTCCTCCGTCTCTCCTCTGTCACACCCCTGTCTCCTCCGTCTCTCCTCCGTCACACCCGTCTTCTCCGTCACACACCTCTCTCCTCC